ATATGTAGATCATCGAAAAATAAGTTGGGTTTGCTCAGTAAAAAAATGCCATCCGTTTTCAAGATACAATGTGTTGAAACAATATTTTTTTTACACATTTTTTACGATTATGTTGAAACTACTGGCACCATTGTGATGAAATTTTGTATGGATGTTTCTTGGAATCTGACACATCGCATGCGTTTGTTTTTATATCTTACTCTCATAGAGGGCGCTAGTTACACGGGTCGTACCGAGTAGTTCTGAACATAACTTTTTTGAGGTTAGATTTTTCAATCCAAATCTACACTCGGTAAAATTCGATACTGTATTCCGTTATCGGAATATTTCGATTTGAAAATGATGAAGTGATAACTGTTGCTGGTAAAGCTATGTATTAGACTTATTAGAGTGAGTATTATGAAAAATTATCACCTATTTATTGAAAACCGAAAACAACAATACTTTTCTGATGCAAACATATAACATCTAAACAGATTTGACTAAGAACATGGATTACACAGTTTTGTTGTATCTTTAGCAGAAATTCTATGCCACATAGGTATAAATTCACGTCAAGAGTTGTGAGACATAATTGAACATCACTTAAATGACCTAACAGCTGATCCTCAACTGTTCAGAAGAATAATATATTCTTAAAAAAGAATATATAATCGTGTATTCCTCGAAACGTAGGACATTTTGAACACTTACTCTAACTTATTAAATATTTCATGTTTCTAGTCAAATATCTCTTAATTTTCTACTTATGATTGTTCGTTCTATCAATTACTTCAGCACAAGAATGATTTTATTGTTTTTGAACCTGAATAAATAGGTAATTGAACTCAAATAAAATTCATTTTATACCAGCATCATTACTACTCCATTATTTTCAAATCGAAATATTCCGAAAACGGAACATAGTATCGAGTTTCACCAAGAGTACCTTTTTGGTGTAAAATTGAATGATGTTCAAGTTCATATTATTTTTGAATTGGAAAATCTAACCTCAAAAAAGTTATGTTCAAAACTACTCGGTACGAACCGTGTAACTAGCGCCCTCTATGAGAGTCAGGTATAAAAACAAATTCATGCGATGTGTCAGATTTCAAGAAACATCCATACAAAATTTCATCACAATGTTGCTAGTAGTTTCGGAATAATCGTGAAAAATGTGTAAAAAAATAATTTTTCCAACACCTTGCATCATGAAAACCGATGCTGTTACGACATTTTTTCACAGAGCAAACCCAACTTATTTTGCAATGTTCTACCTACCCTAGCAAGGGGGTTAGGTTTTTTTGAAACATCCTGTATAGTGTATAGATCTCATTATAAATAATTAAGTATGTTAATGAATGTACAATCAGAAGAATTGATTGACGTTTTCACCTGTTTTTGAAAGAATTCATCCATCACTCATGAACCGCACTATAATAGTGGAGATATAATAATATCGAATTATAAAATTTTTTGTACGGTTCAAAAATGGAACGCAACCACTCTATTATTATGTAAAGTAGGTATAACTTGTTTCACACTGTGAAAAAGCTCATATTTGGTGCTACAGTTGTAGTGTGTGTAGTTGATCACTAGAAATCATGTAAGTTCACCTTTATGATTGATTTGGATATTTTCAATTAAAATCATTGCCAGGCAAATGTTTGATGTTTTACGAAAGAACGACAGTATGATTTCAGTCCAGGTACCGTACCTACAACTATATAGTTATCATTGTATTAAAAGAGAATACCCATATAATAATAATTATAATAATAATACGTCTTTATGCACCAAAGTACATACAAACAAGGATCCAAGTGGAGATACGATATTACAATAATTATTGGTGAAAGGGCGGAGTGTCAGCCTAAGCTGTTTTCAAACTCAACCGTTGTACACAAGATGATAGCACAAAAAAGAAAAAAAAAGTGGTACTTAGTTAATAGTGGTTAGTCAGGAATATGGACAGTCGACAATCCTTAATGAGTAGCTAAGGTTCGGTATTAGGTAATTATGGCGTCTAACTGAATTAGGTAAAGCTTCAACTTTTTTTTGAAATTATTAATTGTATATGATCTAAATTCACTGGGGAGTAGGTTATAATGTTTCGGTGCCATGTACGAGAAGCTGCGAGTGAAGATTGCAGTCTTGTGTTTGGGAATGATGACTAGAATAGATTTGTTACGAGTTGCAAATCTATTTATAACTGAAAATGATGTCAGTTTTTTTTAAAGGTACTCAGGCGTGTTTGTCGTCAGTACATTATAGGTGATAATCAACAGGTGCAGAGTTCTGAGTTTCTCAAGCTCGAGCCAACCTGATTCCTTCATTGCTGATGAGATGTCATATTTTCGGACACCGAAAGAAAACCGTAAACAACTATTTTGGATGCGCTGCAGGCGCAAACAGTCAGATTGCCGCAAGGCAGGTCCATAAATACTATCACAGTAGGAAACTTTAGAGGTGATAAGTGACTCACACAGTTTGAGCATTTGAGTTTGAGTTTCGAGCTGAGTAGATCCCGATTTGGATACAATTGTCTGAGTACATTGAAGGTAGTTTGACTAAGTTCACATGCTTTGTTAAACGAAGCTCCGAATCGAGCCACAGGCCTAGATATAACGCCGTCATTCAAATATTCGATTTTGAAAAACAAATAGGCAAATAAAATTGCTCATCAGATACTATAAGAGATTTGTAACGTCAGCGTCAACCTTTTTTCCAAATGACACATTTTTCAATTTTTGTTTTCTAATCCGGTTTTTTTCTGCATAGGTATCTACATACAGTGGACTTTGGCGAAAATTAGTTGAAATAAAATATTTATGCTCAAAGAGAAATAGATATCTTTATATAATTTTGAGATATATATCATTCAATGTGTCGCTGAAACGAATATCAGTGTTTCACATGTCAGATATTTCGACACCGCACAAGTGATTGTGAAATAAAATCAAAATATTTAACTTTGCCGTCGCTATGTTGTATAGATGAGTTAGGTGATACATGTTTTATTTTTACGTCAATTATTCTTTCTATTAGCGTGGGGAAATAGATTTTCTCAAATTTTTGGGGAGTATTCTGAATATTTAATACCAATAATGAAAGTTTCTTCAGGCTAACTTTTGGATTGTTTCGCACGCTAGTGTAGGTACCTGGAATATTGAAATATTCTAGGGAGTATTTGGAATATTCTAGAATATTTGTGGAATATTTTCTGAATATTGGGATTGGAATTCTTCAGATATTCATGGAATATGTTCAAAAAACTATTCCATGGATCTTTAGACTACATTCTAGAAATACTACTTGGATGTTCCTGGGATATTCCAATATACATATTTCAAAATGAAAAAAAGTGACCCAAGATGGACTCAAACCCGTGACTCCAAGACTGATGTTAGAGCAACGTCTCGATCCCCAGACCAGTAATCGTATTGAATGATATTATACATAACGATATCTTGAGAATCGTTGTTCAGAATCGAATCATAAAACACTTTTCGTTTCAAAATTTATAAGAAAATTTATTACAAAATACAGAGTGACCCATTTGAAAGCGGGCCACCCCTGTATCTCACGTAATCGTTGGGCGAGGATCATGAAATTCGCTGGAGCGAGAGATATATCAAAAATGCACTCTATAACCAAGTGGGGTCATCTTCAGTGATATACACTGCTCGCCATCAACAGCCATATGGAACCACCCCAATTTCCGGAAAATGATATAAGGAGTCAAAATAGGTTGAAAATCACTTCGGATTCGGAATCAGGACGCCCAATTCACTAATTATTCATATTTTTCCTTGGAAATTTTCAGTTCTGAAACATTACATTTTGTCGCACTTTTCATGGAAGCGCACCCCCGTATCTCACGTAATTATTGTGGTAGGGTTCTAAAATTTGCAGGAGGAACGGAAAAACCAAAGATGAAGTCAATTACGTGAGATACAGGGGTGCTTCCGTGAAAAGTGCGACAAAATTTAATTTTTCAGAACTGAAAATTTTCAAGGAAAAATATGAAGAGTTGGTGAATTGGGAGTCCTGATTCCGAATTCGAAGTGATTTTCAACCTATTTTGACTCCTAATATCATTTTCCGGAAATTGGGGTGGTTCCATGGCTGTTGGCGAGCAGTGTATATCACTGAAGATGACCCCACTTGGTCATAGAGTGCAGTTTTGGTATATCTCTCGCTCCAGCAAATTTCATGATCCTTACCCAACGATTACGTGAGATACAGGGGTGGCCCGCTTTCAAATGGGTCACTCTGTATAATAAATGTTCGATTATCACATCTGTAGAATAAACATCAGTGTTCATGCTGTATCCTTCTATTGAAAACATAGAGATATTCATGGAATATCTCATGAATATATAACACACAATATCCAGTTAGTAATATTTCCCCACATAGCAAATTTGGAAGCTTTGTCGATGCAATGTTCAGCAATATTGCAAATGTGAATTTGTAGAAGTAACGTTCCAGCAAGGTCTCAGCAACATTTAATATTGCTGCAACGTTTCATTAGCATACTGTACCTTTACAATATTGCTGAACGTCCGTTTGGGTAATTGCTTCAATATGGCATAAACATAACTTTCAACTTTGCTTAGTGGGTCATGAATATACAACACAGAATATTCAGTTGGAAATATTCCTATACCATTCATATCTGAATATTCCTTGAACAATCAAACTAGAATATTCTGAGAATATTCATACTTCCGAATATATTCCCGCTGGAATATTCCATGTATATCATTTTGGAAAATCACTGGGCATATGTATATATTTCAGGAATATTCGTTGGACAATCGGAATATATTCCTTCCTTTTTAGTATATTTAGAGAATATTCAAGGAATATCCTATGCTGCCTGGAACGTGCGTGAAATTTAAAAAAAATCCATTACCTACCCCCATAGGTACGCACGATATTCCTCGAATATCATAGGAATTTCCTCTCGTGTGCTCATATAGATATTTCAAGAAATAATCAAAATTTTTGTCCAGGAGCACTTATGAATCGCTGGTTCAAACAGCCGATTTCCTCAAGAGGCTGGTACCTTTCAAACCCGAAATCGGAATCATTTGTGGATCTGGCATGGGTAAGAAAACATAATTATTTTTTGAGTTTATAAAAAAACTGACTTTTCCGTCGCCCTCGTATCAAATGATGAAGTGGGTTCAATGTGTATATGAAATTGATCGTTAATGACCCCTATCATTGATCAATTGGCCTCGATGCATGATTGTAGTATAGGCAACCAAACATACAACAGTTCCATTCACTTTTGGCACTGTATCTTACGGAATCTTTATTTAAATCGAAAAAATGGATTTCATGGAAAATATTTTTTCTACAAGCGTGCGTGATTCACCCTATACCCGCACGCAATTTAGTTTGGGAAGTGTCATTTTCCCGCAACAGTACGGGAAAATTTTCCCACACTAGTGCGGGAAATTTTTTCCCGCACTAGTGCGGGAAAACAAAGATATGATATAATCGCTAGTAATATAAGTGGTTGGTGATGGAATTTAAAAGTTTAAGATTGTTTGTTGCAGTATTAAGTATGTATGTTTAGAATCATCCATCAAATTGCACTATTTATTGTAAAAATTAAGAAATATTGAGAAATAAAAATGGATTATTATAAAAATTCCCCTATAGATTTGGATTGATCTGACGGGAAACGTCAATTTGTCATGCCAATCAAACCTCAAATAAGTTTGAAATTGTCGAAGTGACAGACACAGCGTTACTGTCATTTTCGATTCAGTGGAAATGCCACAATGTGATCAAAAACTTCTATTTATAGAGATTTGATACAGATGCGTTAATATCACCAACGAAGTCTTAAGAAAGATATGAGAAGCTATACACGCGTTCTATTGAATGGTGCAACAATAAAGAAATGAAAAAACCGAATGCAGAATAGGTATTTTTGGCTCATTCCAAAGAAGTGTCTGGAACCTAGAGACCAAACTCCTAATGGGCCTACTGGCTTCCGCACTGAACCAACATAATGCGTCAAACTGTAAGTTCACAATAGCTATTACTGTAACGTAAATACCATAGTTACTATATACATCAGTTGTGACAGTGAATAAAATAAAGATATTGTCAATCATAATTATTATATCTCAAGATAACTTTACATGGTGTCAGAAGTTCTATCGAAAGGGGAGCTTTGAGAAATTGTGGAGATTCATACAAGGTATAATAGTAATATGCCGGATACAGCCGAGATAATTGCGGAAGTATCAGGTGTTAGTGGTGTTCGTCCTCCAAAGAATCTAGTTATAGATCATGAAAATATGTCTCTAACATGGAAAAATTGGATACAACAGTTTGAATGGTATGCCATTGCAACACAACTTTCAAGAAAAAGTCCAGAAATCCAAGCTGCTATCTTCATGAATGCACTAGGTCCAGATGTAATTACAATTTACAATAACTTCAATCTAACAGAAGCTGATCAAAAAAATGTAATTGTGCTGAAATCAAAGTTTCAATCGTATTTCATGCCAAAAACACATATTCCTTTTGAGAGATATAATTTCTTCAGGATTATTCAAAGAGAAGATGAAACTTTCGATGAATTTCTCACGATTATCATGACGCAAGCTAAAAAATGTGATTTTGGTGTCCTGCATGATAGTCTCCTGCGTGATAAAATAATTTTTGGGGTCAATTCTGCGAGTGTTCGAGAAAAACTTCTTACAGAAGATGAAATAGGACTTGAGAAAGCTATAGCCATATGTAAAGCTAGTGAACAGGCTAATAAACAACTCAGAGAAGTTACAGCTACGGAAACTAATCACATACATTTACTAAGGAATAGTTCATCATTGAACAATAAAACGGACACATTTCAATGCAGAAGATGTGGCACAAAACATCAAAGACAAAAATGTCCCGCCTATGGTTATAAATGTGAAATATGTAATAAGAAAGGACACTTTCAGAGTCAGTGTTTCAAGAATAAAAGTCAGCAGAAGAAGGTGAAAAATGTCAATGTTGTCGAAGATGAAGAAAACGAAGATAGTCCATCTGAAGAAGTTTTCTATATTATTTCGATAAAGAACAATGGTGAAGAGGATTGGCATGAAATGCTGAAAGTTAATAAGAAAAAATTTGAGGTGAAATTGGATACAGGAGCTCAATGTAACGTCTTATCTAAGTCCTTAGCTCTGAAACTAGGAGGAATTATCAAACCCTCGAACACCAAGAGACTACTAAGTTTCAGTGATGATCAAATTCCAGTTATTGGAGAAGTGTCATTGGAATGTCAGCTCAAAAATATGGAGAAAACTGTACTTTTCAAAGTTGTAGACCAAGTTGTACCACCGATCCTTGGAAGAAGAAGTTGTATAGATTTGGGTCTAGTTGCCCGAATTCGTGAGGTCAAAGGCAATATTCCAGATGGAGATATTTTTGATGGATTGGGTTGTTTCAAGGATTTCGTCTATGATATTGACCTTATCGAGAACCCAAAATTTGAAATAAGACCAGCAAGAAGAATTCCCTATTCTATAAGAGATCAAGTGAAGGCAGAGCTGGATAGTATGGTCAAATTAGAAGTGATAAAACCTATAAGTGAACCTACTCCGGCTGTTAGTCCATTAGTTATAGTCCACCAGAAAGACAAACTCCGAATATGTATCGACCCTACTGATGTGAACAAAAATATTCTCAGACGTCACTATCCTCTAAAAACCATCGAAGAAATATCTGCAAGAATATCAGGATCTAAATATTTCACTTTATTAGACTGCAGACGAGGTTTTTGGCAGATCAGAGTCTCAGAAAGAACACAAAAATATTTGACATTTGCCACGCCTTGGGGAAGACGTACACGTTTACCTTTTGGCCTATCATCAGCACCGGAAGTCTTTCAAGAAGCCATGAATTTCATATTGAAGGGTATTTCAAATACAGAGTGTTCCATGGATGATATCCTCATATATGCCAAAACCAAAGACAAACTTGACCAAACAACCAATCAAGTTATCGATAAATTGAGAAAGGCAGGATTGAAACTGAATAAAGAAAAATGTATTTTTGGAGTTACGAAAATGAAATTTTTGGGACATATTCTATCTGAAGATGGACTTTCAGTGGATCCAGAGAAGGTTTCTGCCATTAAACAGCTGAAAAAACCTACAAATAGAACAGAACTACAAAGATTACTCGGTATGGTAACTTACCTGAAAAAATTCATCCCTAACATGTCTGAGCTTACTGAACCGTTGAGAAAATTGCTGAAAAAAGAAGTCGAATTCGAATGGAATTTTCATCAGGATGATGCTTTTGAGAAAATCAAGATTCAATTAACTTCACCACCGGTTTTAAAATTTTATGATGTGAAAAAGGACGTTACTCTATCGGTAGATGCAAGTTCGAAAAGTATAGGGGCTGTTCTAATGCAAGAAGGTCAGCCTGTTGCATATGCGACAAAATCTTTGACAAGTTCTCAACAAAACTATCCTCAGATAGAAAAGGAGGCATTTGCAATTCGAGCTGCTTGTCAAAAGTTTCATGAATATATTTATGGAAAAAATCTAATTATAGAAACGGACCATAAACCACTGGAAGTGATTTTCAAAAAACCTATACAGTGTGCACCTGCAAGACTGAAAAGAATATTATTTGATGTAATTCAATATTCGCCTAGAGTTATATACAAGAAAGGAACAGAAATACCTATCGCAGATATACTTAGCCGTGACTGCCATCAGCAAGAAAATGTCAATGCAGCTGAAGAACAGTACAAAATTCAGATTATCTTGTCCGTCTCAAATAATGCTAAGGAACAATTGATCAAAGCAACCAAAGAAGATGGAGAACTTCAAATCCTCATTCTGTATATATCCAATGGTTTCCCAGAGAACCAAATTGAACTACCGGAGAATATAAGGCATTACTTCAATTTCCGCGAAGAGCTCGCGTTCTATGGCGGGTTGGTTTTCAAAGGAGATAAAATGGTTGTTCCAAAGTCTGAAATTCCTACTATGCTGAGGAATATTCATGCAGGCCATTTCGGAATTCAGAGCTGTCTCCGCCGAGCCAGACAATTACTATATTGGAGAAAACAATCTGAGGACATAGCAGATTTCGTTAATAAATGTAGTATTTGTGAAAGGACGCAGATATCAAATACGAAAGAAACTATCATTACTAAACAAATTCCTGAACTACCATGGCAAATTGTAGCATCTGATTTGTTCAACTTCAAAGGTCGAGAATACATTGTTATATTTGACAGTTATTCCGGTTATGTGGACTTCAAAGCGTTGAGAACCCAGACTTCCAAAGAAGTTATAGAAAATCTCAAATATTGGTTTGCTTCACATGGTGTTCCCCAAATACTTGAATCCGATAATGGACCCCAATACACATCAAGAGAATTCAAAGATTTTAGCGCTAATTGGAATTTTGAGCATAGTACCAGTAGCCCATATCATCCTCGTTCCAATGGATTAGCTGAGAGAGGAGTTCAAATTGCCAAAAATATTTTACGGAAATGTACATTGGATGGATCTGATGTTCAGTTGGCATTATTGAATTACCGCAATATACCTAGGAGTTCAACATTGGCGTCTCCTTCACAGCGTTTATTTAGTAGAATAACTCGATCTACTATCCCGATTGGAATTGATAAATTGAAACCAAAAATTGAAACTCATGTCAAAGAAGAAATGGAAAAAGCTAGGAGCAAGCAAAAAAAATATGGCGACAGGCATGCAAAAGACTTGGAAGAGTTATCAGTTGGTGATGAAATCAGATATCAAACCGCAAAGAGGGAGTGGATAGGAGGAAAGGTGAAAGAGAGAAGAAATACAAGATCAATCATTATTCAAACTGATGAAGGAAAGTATGTGAGAAGAAATACTGGTACAGTTCATAAAACAAAGGCGAACATATCTAATCGAAACGATTTAGTTGTAATACCTGAATCTTGTGAGAATGTTACCCTCAATGATGATGATGTACCATCTCAGTTCAATCAAAGAGAACCTACTCTTCAAGATCATGAAAGCGGTAATGTTGTTGAAGAAGAGCCACGGAACGATAGATCTCACCCAGAATTGCAGCCGAACTTGT